TGGGCGGAGGCCACGCCTGGTCACCCCGCAGGGCAGTCACCAGGCCCCCAGCTGCGGGTTCTGGCAGGGCAAGGTCCTCACCCAGGCAGGCCAAGCACGCTGTAGCCAGACCACACCAGGACCACCGGCATGGAGCGTCGGGCAGCTCTAGAGTGGCTTCCTGCCAGGGACTTTGTCTTCTGCATGGGCCCCCACGGTGCAGAGACGCACGTCCCGAGGTGATGGTGTCCACAGGAGCCCGGGGGCCACCCCTACAGGTGCTGCGGGTGCTCACTCACCCCTCCCTGGACATCGCCTTGTCACTCTGTGGCTAATGAAATACTGCTGCTGAGAATATCTGCCTACGACCTCGTGTGGCCGCCCTTCCTTTCTCGGATGTGCGCCCGGAGTGGGATTGTCGGGTCTTCTACTGACTGCGCTCAGTCATCTGAGGCCCCGCCCCCGCCACCCGGGTCACTCCCGGCAGCGGCACTTGGATCCCGGCTGTTCAGGCCGTGTCCAAGGGTGGGAGGTGGGGTCTGACTGTGGCTTTGATTTCCAGTTCTCTGATAACTACATGAGTTTCTTTCCATGTACTTACTCACCCATGACATACTTTTCTTTGGAGAAATACCTTTTCAGACCCCTTGCCCAGATTTTTATTAGTTTTGTTTTGTGTTTTGAGACAGGGTCTCACTATACACTCTATATTGGCCCTGTACTCTGTTTAGCCCACGCTGGCCTCAAACTTGCAATCCACCTGCCTCAGCCTCCCAAGTAGCCAGCATTACAGACGTGGGCCACACACCCAACAGCATAATTTCCCTTTCCTCATGGTATCCTGTGAGGCACAAGTTTTAAATTTTGAAAAAGTCCAACTTTGGGTTGCTTGTGCTTTGGGTGTCATTTCTAAGAAACCTTTGCTGAGCCCATGATCGTGAAGATGCATCCCCATGTTTTCTTCTAAGGGTTTCATAGTGTTTGCATTTATATTTTGGTCTTTGATCCATTTTGAGCTGATTTTTATAAATGACATGATCCTTGTTTGGGTTTGACATGTGCTGTTTTGGGCTTGGGGGGCCTCGGGCCATGGGCCTCGGGCACGCGGGCACTGGGCCCATAGCCCCGTGTTGCCGCTTGCACATGGCCACAGCTGCCCCCTTTGAGTCGCCCCTCCCCAGTGAGGGGCCTGGTGCCTCTGTCACAGGTCAGCCGCCCACGACATCCGGGTCACTTCTGGGCCTCAGTCTTCGTTATCTTTATACCTTTGTCAGGAGCACAGTCTCTGAGCAAGGATTGCTTTGTAGTAAGTTTTTTTTTTTTTTAAGATTCCTGATCCGGGCAAGGTGGTGCATGCCTGTAATCCCAGCACTCAAGAGGCTGAGATGAGGGGCTGGGGATTTAGCTCAGCGGCAAAAAGTGCCTGCCTGGCAAGCACAAGGTCGTGAGTTCGGTTCCTGGTACCGGAGAAAAAACAAAAACAAAAAAAGGCTGAGATAGGAGGATCATTGCAAGTTTGAGTCCAGCCTGGGCTACAGAGTAAGACCCTGTCTCAAAAAAGACCAAATAAATAAATAAAAATCCTTTATGTTTATTTTCTCTTTGTCAGTTCATTAAATATCGTTTGTGTGTATTATATATATTTGGTACTGGAAATCAAACTCAGGACCTTGCACTTACAAGCAGGCCCTTGGGCCACTGAGCTATATGCCCGGCCCTATAGTAAGTTCTGAAGTTGAGACCTTGGGTTGTGTTTGTCTTTCAGGATTGCTTTGGCCACCCTGGGTCCCTGCAGTTCCTGGGAATCTTAGTGTAAGCAAGTC